AAACTCAAACATTCTAAACCGAGAGGGGACATATCTATTAAGGACATAAAATTATACAAAGATCCTAAGCGTGTTGCGGGTCTATTTAGTGAACACGTTTGTTTGTCATTAACTAACGAGAAACCTCTGAATGATTCAGAACCAATCCCAGCACCTCCCTGTGAAATTACCAATATAGACTTCAATGTAAAAAATATCTTCAAGACAGTTAGTACATTGAAGCACTTCTACACTGATGGATCAAATGGTATTCCGGCTAGCATGCTAAAACGTGGAAGTAGTGATTTATGTGTTTTGCTTCTTAAACTATTTGCGATATCACTCTCTACAGCGCGTTACCTCACTGCCTATAAAACTACACATCGTCAAACTAAAGTCCTTCGGAATAATCAACCCACTGTATTCATGGTTTGTTTCGTTCTTAACCGAACGTACACAAATGGTAAAGTACAATAACTCATCACCTAGAACAATAACTACTGGAGTCATTCAGAGAAGCGTATTAGGTCCACTCTTGTTTCTTATGTATATTAACGATATATGTAACATCATAAAATTTCAGAAACCAAACTTATATCCTGACGATCTCAAAACAGTATACAGTTATAAGCCCGAGACTAAGTGAAAGTGTATCCCTGATTCAAAATGAACTCAATAACTTAACTTTCTGGGGTGACAAATGGCAATTACCATTTAACTTCAACAGTTGCGGGATCATGCACTTTTGAAAGCATCCCTATAAACTGCAACTTCACTTAAATAAAAGTAGAGTCCAGACACTCAAATCAGTACATGATCTAGGAACTAATTACACAGGAAGCCTGAATTTTGAAGAACATGCCTCCTCTATTATTTCTAAATGCAGACGTCTAATTAGTTTCAAAATGAGAAATGTCTTCACAACAGAGGCTAAGCTTACTCTCTACAAAATATGTGCACGACTCTCCCTTGAATACCACTATTTATCTTCTCTAATATGAATACCACAAACAAGGTCAGAGTAGATGTTCAAAGACGCTTCACACACCAACTGCTAGGAAGTAACTCCAGTCTCGATTACACAGATAGATGTAAGCACCTCTCTTTAGAAAACTTACGACACCGTAAGCTAAGGAACAATCTAATATTTTTCTACAAAGCGATATATGGACTCTCATTTCTAACCTCCTGCCCAACTGCGATCCATGACCCAGCCTATGGACTATGAAACAACGCATATACACTACTTACCGTAAAACATCAAAAACAAATGAGTTGTAAGTTTTTTACAGTGCTGCAGATTGCCAATACCTGTCCATAACTGTGAGACGTTTACCAAATTCAAAAAGCTAATAATGCTGTTACTAGACTCTAAAGAGCTTCAACTATTCCATGAACTCCCGCCCACCAATGTGGCACTTTATTATGGGCCGCCTAATATCCAAAGGGAACAAGAATATAAAGAGCCTCGTTTTTATTAATATGAATATAACTAAATTACAGAACATATGGTTTATCCTTTTTTATTATTCGTTGTTTATTAACCATGGCTTTATGCTTTGATTATAGCAGTATTCATACTTACCACAAACGTGAGAGAGCCTAATATCACAAAAGGAGGGAGGGTGGCGTTACTGACCAGCAAACATGATGGTAAGGAGATAACTTCAGTCCACCCATGTCTGTAGGGCAGAACATTTTGTTTGAATACGGCTTCTTATAGTCTAGTGACATGTCACAAACCAACGGTATTGGTGCTGATTAGTTACGCAAACTACCTCTCTATGTCGTGTTTAAAACGCTGAATCTGTTTTAATTCCTACCTAGTAATCCTATTACAAGTAAACTCAACAACTCGCTAAAGACTAAGCCTGCTCACGACCCTTTAAAATCTTCAAAAATATAACGGGCTCAATTAGCTTCGACGAACATGGGAGGTATCCATTTGTGTATCGGAATACTGTTTTCAGCACTATATATTATGACTACAGATAATCCCATATTTTGAGCTTCTTTCTGAACCACCTTGGTTTATAAATGTTTTTATCCACTCGTACCTTGTTTATACTTATTTTGTTTGACATATCAGAATGCCCTTGCTTAAAAAGTGCCTTAATAAAAGAGAATTAGACTATGTAGTCATACCTTGACTATTCCTCTATGAACATTTTCTGCTCTGCTTTCGTCCTTTCTTTCCTACACATTTTTTCAGCCCTCTCGAGATATGCCACCGAAAACAGATATGGAACGGGTGACTTCGTCTTGCACCATCATTAAAGCTTCAGATATTCAAGAGGGATATAAGGTTGGGGTTTCTAGGAGCCCCCGATTCCAAATGGATCTATACTTGACTATCGGTTTCACATTATAACACAACCCACATAAAGCCGGCCAACTGTGATATTGACAACACGGGTCTACATTCATATCTTATAAAATATCAGCCCAACTGAGTAATTCACTGCAGTGAAAATTGTATCTTTTTAAGAATTTGGTCTTGCCTGTAAACTGGCATGCCTCGTATAACAGACTGTTATTTGAGAATAAATTATTATTATTATCAAGTTGTATAAAACACTTGACAATGCTCAAAAGTCTTTGCAAAAAGGTTTCAAGGGACTGGCACAACGTGTAGCACTTTCTGAAGAGGACTTGGTGCTACGCGTTGTGCTGTACGGAACTGTTAACACTAAGTGGAGTGACTATAAGCCTCTCACCTCTTCTCTTACCTCACCTTCAAACAGAGACTCCCATCGAGAGCCTGAAAAACCGTACTATATTTCTTGATTTGTTCCTGGGGCAAACAATAGAATCTCGGACGCCTTGTCTTGCGTAAATTTCCTGAACAGTATTCAAGGGACCGACCTTCTTAAACTGTCTCAGATTCAAATAGAAGACACTTACCTTCAACAAAATTATCATCGACGTCCTTAAAACTAAAAATCAGACAGATGAGGACGAGTAGGAGAACTTTACTTTGTAGATCGTCCAATCATGCAGAACCATTATTGATCCAATATCTTCAACACACTTTACAAACATTCTGATCCATATGTTCGAGCCACCATGAAGCTCACAGAACTATTTCACTGGCCTGGTATGAATGGAGACTCGAAGGATTGAGAAGGCTTCTGTCCAGGCTGTCGGAAATCCAAGGTGCTCAATTACAACAAATGTTTTCTGGGCGCTTTCGCAACCCCCGATGCTCGCTTGATCACGTTCATCTGGATTCGGTAGGACTTTTGCCGGATTTAAATAAACACTTATATGTTGACGTGTGTAAACCGTTTCGCACAATAACCAGAAGCAATATCTGTCAAGGACATTACTGTAAAAACAATGGTCTGAGCTTTGATTGAACGATGAGTGGCAATGTTTGGCTATCCTCCAACTATTATTACGGACCGTGCATGCCAGATGGAATCTAGCTTTACCCGTTGTCTTACTACATTATTAGGCACCACATGATTCCGAACGATTACCTACTGCCTACAAGCAGGCGAGTTGGTAGAATAATTTCGCCAATATTTGAAAGCTTCTGTTTCAGCTGCCAACGTATAACAGTGTACCAACGGAATGGTACTCCGACTTCCAGGAGAATTGGTGGATTCTTCATCTTTAGTGAATGTGGATGTAAAGACGTACACAGAAAGCTTACAAACATGTTGTGCTCACCTAGAACTGCTCCTGCTAGTTTTCTACCGGCCCTCCTGATGACTAAGTAGTTTATTTTTTTAAAATGTTTTCATCAATCCTTCACTAAAAAACAGTTTTTAACAAATGTTTGCGTGCAGAGTGGATCCTTTTCTGGAGGGAAATTCAAAATATCTTCTGTAATACATGGGACGCTAAAAATGTAAAGCTATGGTTTCATACGTTTATGTTTCATGTTATCGTGTACTTTGGATGTCGTTATTCATCAATCAATAACAGCGTTTTTGCTGCCACACGTCAATTTCTGTAATACTTGTTTTTGTGACGTCTTGTTTATCCCAGTTAGTTAGTTGTTTGAGGGAGTTGTTGTTCAGTACTTTTGTGAATGTTAAGTCAACTTGACGTGGCTATTTGTAATAATGTAAACTCTAGCAAGTGAAACCCTCTGTTTATCTAGTCACAGATAGACCACAGTCAGATGTTTCAGCAAAAATGAGCCCTAAAAATTTTAACATTTGATTCACCATCCTAAAGAATGTTGGTGAACATGGATTTCTGGTAGTTTTCAAAAAAATTCAGGTTGTGGCGATTCCGCGTTAACCTGTTTTTGGACATTATATAAGTAACTAGTATACAAGCACAAACAGTCCTAACCGTTTTGATTATCAACATTTTTAACGGAACTGACATATTAATATGTGAATTATCTGAGAAAGAGAAAATGTTTAAGTAATAATTGACTTCGATGGACTTTCTTCCCGCTTCTTGAAGACATACAGGGGCCGCATGTAGTATAACTGTGTCACACTAATTAGTGATATATTCTACAAAAGTAATACGATGCATGTTTGTTTCGTAGATGGTAACTGAACTATGTTTTTAGTGAATACGAATTTATGATGTATCTGTTATAGGGCTAATGTATGAATTTCTGTAAATAGAATTCACAACAATTGAACAAATTAGAAACAAAGAATTAACACATATATATGAGTAATATATTAAAGATGCCACAGGTATTTCTTGTTTGACAACACGAACCAGTAACACCCTCTGTGATTGAATCATGTCCGCTCAGTGAAACCAAAAGCCAGAAGCGAGGAAGTTCGAAGATAACTTTGATAGGCTATCAATATACCGAGAAACGACTGATCCAAACTGGCTGGCGACTGCAGGAGAAGTTGAGCACTGAGTTCCCACTCGTGATCTGGTGCGGATGCATGACCGGGCGCCTTCCGCTAGTCGAGTTCATTAAAGCTAATGTGGTCAGCATCCGATGTCGAAGACTAACAGAGCTATTGATTTTGTGGACTTACCGCCACAAACTAGATAGTGCTTCACAATTACGTCATAATTGTATGTGAACAGTGAATTGTTACGTTACGAAATGGAATGTCTCGCTGACGTCAAAAGTTCAAAATAACTGAAAGTTCGAAGGATTTTAAGTATAACATACAAAAAATGATAGCAAATCGCATGTTGAAGTTTGTTTTTATCAGTCACTGTGTTATTTCCTTAGTGCAGTCTGTGGCCTATATTCCGGAGGGAGTGTTAATTCTCGACCTAATTATGCGGTGCTTGTTATGTTTGAGTGCTTTGTTTGTAATTGTTGTTGGTGATCCTGGTTACAAAAAGTGGTCAAATCTCGAACCTTCATTATCTTTAGGTAGACTTCTCGAGCAACAGGTAATTGAAGGTGGTGTGTCTAGCTCTGTAAATGTTGATTTGCTTGCTGACATTATATCAGCTTGGAAATTTTTCAAAATTCACTTTAAACGAGTTTATGATAGCATTCATGAAGAAACAAGGCGATTCTTTGTATTCGGGGCTAATTTCGTCAAGATGGTGGAGCACAACCACGCCTACCAAGAAGGCAAAGTGACGTACAAAATGGGTGTCAATGAATTCACTGATAAAGTAAGTCTGTTTTGCATCATTCATACCTGCAGACTGACTATGAACTTAAAAAGTTGCGTGGATATAAAGTTACTGGTGGTGCCATGAAACATAAAGGATCAACGTTTATTAGATCAGAACATACTAAACTCCCGGGCAGCGTTGACTGGCGAAGAGAAGGGGCAGTAACCGATGTAAAAAATCAAGGTCAGTGTGGTTCATGTTGGGCATTCTCTACAACGGGAGCTATAGAAGGTCAACACTATCGTAAAACCAACCATTTAGTTAATTTGTCTGAGCAGCAATTGGTTGATTGTAGCAAGAGTTACGGAAATAATGGTTGTTCTGGTGGTCTCATGAACTCAGCGTTTGAATATGTTCGCGACAATGAAGGCATTGATTCTGAGATTTCTTATCCATATATATCTGGTAATGGAACGGAAAATATGAAATGTTTATTCAACGCTTCAAACATTGTGGCTCAAGTTTCAGGCTATGTAAGCATACACGAAGGTGACGAGCGTGCATTAATGGATGCTGTGGCGACAAAAGGTCCTGTTTCAGTTGCCATTAATGCTGGTCTTCCCAGTTTTTCTATGTACAAGTCAGGTAGGTGGTTTCATATATAACGATTATTATTCTCATCCAATGGCAAGATCTTTAAAAATTTTGTCACAATAAACAGTCGCATATCTATATTTTAATTACATTTTAAATAGCCCTCAGTTTTAGTTGTTGTGTAGTGAAAAAAGCAGAATAATGGCGAGGACAAGAATTCTTATGTAAGCAGTTATGTTTTTGCGTAGTTTATACTCTCATTAGTTGTGTACAACGGATTTATGACAGCTGTCTGTAAAATTCTAGTATACTGACGACCCTGAGCTGACCGATCAATACTAAAGTTACACCACGTATTTTGTGTGAATATATGACGCAGTGATAAATAACGTGTAGGTTATCATTGATCAAGTAAAAGTTGGTAATATTTGGTTCTTGGAATTCTTGAAGTCAACCAAAATGCCTATCACGCAACCGGAAAGCGTATATTCTATGGTGCTTACGCTAAGTTACAAAACACCTGCCCCCAAGGCAGATTGTATGTTAAAGTGCTTGGTGCAGCTCATTGCGTAATCAAGTGTGTTTAGTGAAGCTGGATAATGTTTGCCGTTTTCCTAATCTTACTGTAAATCTCAACCCTAAGCTTCCGACGTCGAACTGGAATTGTGAGTTAGGTTTACAAATTAGGGTCAGGGTTTTCAACACTTACTGATATCAGCTATAATTTAATACCTTCACTTCATATCTTTCCTTCCACTAACTAATTCTTTCTTCCTATACTATATCCTTATATGCAGTATTTCTCCTATATATTACCACCTTTGACCTAACCACTCCTATGAATCCGGTGTTCATCTTGCTGTGCTAATGAGTTATGGCAACCTGGACCGATGCACATATGTGCCTGGTCCTACGTTGTAGCTGACTGACTGAATACCTTACCACCTTCCTGTTTGGAAACTTGAGATCTAATTATGTACTGCTATGGTTTCTGCCCATTCAAACTTCATTAGGACTACTTAACTTTGAATATCTTATTTTGTTCTGTTATTTGAAACAGTTATGTGCATAAAGCTTATAAATTTGTTTACTAGTTTTAATTTCAGTCGATGGTAATATTACATTTGAGCTTCCTACTGCCACTGTCAGTCAAGCTCATATCAGAACAGTCAAGTTAAGCACTAACTGAAAATCTTTATTTTTGAGGTTGCGTAGGATTTTATTTTTTACACAAAAATGTGTATATGTTTACTATTGTTACCTTTTTTATTATTTAGGTGTCTATTCAGATATTGGTTGTGAAGGTACGTTAGATGCCCTTGATCATGGGGTTCTGGTGGTGGGTTATGGAAAAGAAAATGGTCATTCATACTGGCTTATAAAGAATAGTTGGGGTGAAGATTGGGGTGAAAACGGTTATATCAAAATCCTAAAGGATTCTCATAATATGTGTGGTGTCGCCAGTGCAGCTTCATACCCTCTGGTATGAAATATTTGCTTGCAGATATTAAGATTTTAAGACAGTAATCCAATCTCGATTTTTTGATTTTTATACAGAACTAATTTGATGTACATAATCCTATATTTCGTTGATAATTTATTTGTATTCCCTCTTTTATAACTTGTTTGTAATCAGTGTGATTTTCTCCACTCATACTTTGCCTTTTTCCATCATCGCGTAGTATGCGATTAATCGTTGTCCTCTTAAATAATTACAGCTTTTACGAATTAAAAGGTATAGGACCTCAGTGAGGAAAGTTGAAACTTTATTTTAGTTGTTATTCTTGACTCTCAAATGTCACATAACCTGTAAGCATTTTAAGTTAGTAATATTTTAGATGGTAAGACTTCTACCATAGTTGCTAAATTAAGGTGATAAACATACTTTGTCATGATTAACCTCCACACCTGTTCCTCACGATTTCTCCATGTCAGACAGGCTGATTAAGACATGTTTCGACTGAAGGAAACATTGGTGAGACTATAATCTATGGACGACCTTTGAGCGACACTAAACTGACCTTCAGAGTGTCCACCCACTAACTAGGACTGTTTATTAACCAGTGTGAGGGATTAGAATTATGATTTACAGTCGTTGGTTAGAGTTAGGAATTAGATCCAGGGTTTTCATCACGAATCGACATAAGCTAGAACGATAAGACGGATTAATGGATATCACGCCAAAATCCAAAGCCTGTTATCTTAAATGTGGTTGTTTCGTCCATAAATTATAGTCTCACCGAAACATTTTTAGGTCAAAATGCGATGTCTTACCAACTGTTGGGAACTTACTGTAGCGGGAGAATGTTTCGTTTGGTTAGTCTGTGTCTTAGGCGATATTATTGTAGCATATCTCTCCCGTCACACGCCTACGTGGCTTGTTCGAGCCTCTGGATGAGCATATTGTTTGTCATCTCCCCGCTTTACTTATCGCGTATTTAGCTTTGCCATTGACTCATGTGTGACTTTGGGTATGCTCTGTACATGTGCGTATGCTAGTATGTATTTCAGTATACTTTTATCTCTTTCATGCTTATAAAGACTGAGTCACCTGTGACTCACTGAGTTGATTGTTTTTGTCTCACATGCATTTCTTTTCATCTCTTATCGTTTGCCTACATTATCGAATGTCAGGAATATATGTCTCTCAACCGCGTTCGTATTGGCTTTTTAAATTTATCTTTTTATTAATGCGACAGTTTATATATAAAGTAAGTAGGATATATATTTCGTGAACATCAATATCACTCTATCATACTAGAGTTATACTGCGGGTATTAAACTGCTTGCAAATGCAAGAAGTTAGCAGTAATAAACTACAAAATTAATACCCCATTGGCTTCGTCATTGTCCAGTGCAAACCGAAAGGTTGAAGAAACCTCAAACAGGAATAGAGGTCATGTTTCGGTGTCTTTAAACAGTTATGGACTGGATCCATGTTCTTAAGTCGACGAAGCCTGTGTTAACTCGGGTTACTGAGTGGTAGCTGTTTTGGTGAGGTGAACGGTTGTGAAACAACTGACTGTATGACAAACTACCCTGTCTACCACCAGTCCTACCTCTTTTCTAGATCTATTTCACCTTAATCGTACAGCTAGTATCAACAATCAGAACGTAATAAATTCCTTTCCTTATCTGCAATCATCATTCAAAATGCATGTTGAAGCTTTAATTGTTTAAATCCATCAAAATGGTGGATATTAGAAATAAAAAAGGGTTATAATGGACGTAGTCCAACCTCTGTGTAATTGGGTTCTTAGATCTAGTAATTGCAGCAGGTGACTTTAACGCTTGATCAAGTAGGGTAAAATAAGCAGAAAGACAAATCCCTGTATCTCTTTAAAATCTATTCTGATCAAACAGATAAAGGTGCATTGTCAACCGTTTATTCTTACAAACTTTCAAAATGTAAGGCGTAGAAGGCATTGACACGAATATCGATTAGCTAAGATAGACGACCATTTAGGGAAGTCAGTAAAAAGATGTCACATATTTTGGTCAGTCATCAATCATCCATAAGTAAATGGACTATCGGAAAACAAAGGAGATATCATCCACTCGGTGTTGCTACATTGATGTGGTGGTCGACTTGCCTGTCGTAATGAACCAATTGAACTATACCGCCTGAAACATCCGTTTCTCAGGGTCCTGCCATACCAGACAGGTCGGTTGAAGAGCGGGAAGACTGAAAGCAGCAAACCCGAGGTCTAGAATCGAAGTCGTACTGCTGACTTTACAGAGGTGTGACGGCGGTAAGGTGTTTCCTACATACAACCAGCGTAACAACGATGCTGCCTCCTCACAAGGATGGGTAGGGTTAGAAAATATCGACCTTAAATATGTGCACCGCACCCTAATTCACGGACCTCCAGCGGTAAGGTCTCAACAAGTACGGAGCTAACACGGGAGTTATTCACAAAAAGGTCGTATGTGACTGGTGTGGGCAACCGGGAAGTGAAAACCGCCCTCATACCTCTAACAGCACTCAAGAGTATTGAGAAATATGGTTAACAATTGTATTACACGTATACTGTTCAAAGGCTTTACACGGTCCTGACTGAAATCTGACTTGGAGTGAGCCGTTCTCAATGCGTTATCTACATAAACGCTCATCAGAAGTGTCATAAATTCTCCGATGGTTAGAGACCCTGAATGACATGGCTCAAAATCGTTTGCAATGGCGCAGGTGCATCCACTCTTTGTGTTCTCCCAAATTCGAGTCTTCTGTATTCTTTATGCCCATTTTCTTTTCCTCTTTCCAAATTTATTTCACTGTATTATACTCCTTGAATAACATCTTCAAGCCCTAATGTTTCCGATTACTGCCTATACTCTTACCACCTCTACCACTGTGGTATGGCAACTCAAAATGATGTACGTACGTACGAAGTTCTACGTTGTTACTGACTGACTGGCGTCATAAACTTAGTTCATTGTTCCATCTCTTCATTGGTCTGTGCCGTCAGTAAGAGCCACAAACCACTCCACAGTCGCCTTTGTGGTTTCTTTATGAGTGTTTATCTGTTTATAAAACTAATTAATGTAATTAGTACCGAAATAGAAAATAAATACAGTCAGAGAAAGAAGCTAAAGCAAACATACAGTGGTGGAATATGTAATGAATCAAATGATTTGGGATACAATTTGTACTTCAAAGTAATTTATGACCATCATTTGGTGCCTGGATATAGATGTACCACGGAATTTATACTTATGGTAGTAGGGGATTTGTATGCAGTGTGACAAGTGTTCTGTTTAGCTGCATTCATACTAGCTGCCCAGTACTAAATGGTTATCTAGATAAAGTCTGTCCTTGTTATAAAACTACGATTAGTAAGTTGTTTCGGGAACATCCATGAATACACACTCTTTGATCAACTGACATAATCGACTAATTAACACGAGATTATAATTTGTCACAATATCCATACTCTGTTTTGATAATAATATTCGTTAGTCAGCTGCGTAATCATTTGTCAACTTGCATAAATCTATAGATTATTTGTGTATTCAGATTTAAAGAATAGTTTCCAGTATATATAGGACTCATGCACAAACATACATTTAAAGATTACGGCATTTTTCATAGATTTAAGCTTCAAGACGAAAACAACTAATGTTTAGTGGTTGTTTTTTATTCTGATATAATTTTTCACAAAAATAACCCGACTATTTACATGTCCAGTGCATATAATAAGAACGCTAAACATTTATATTCGTTATCATGCATTTTCGATTGAAATCATGTATAAACAGTTTAAATCAGTCTGGTCATACAAACGATGCGATTATAATTTATTTGTATGATCGAAATGGTTTTTTTTAAAACACTAATTTAAACAAAAATCAGAATAAGGATTTGTTGAGACTGTAGTAATTTTAATAGTTAAATTCACGAGTCGGTCTAACCCAGACCACTACTTGACTTTTATGCAACCATAAAAAAACAGTTGGCTGTTTCTTAATCCTGAATTTATACTCGTTACCAGTATTCGCTGTGACGAACCACTTATGTAATTCAATAATACGCTTTGTGTGCTTTATTAGTTTAGGCAATCGAATCTTAACCCTAATGGTTTACATTCCATTCTGTCAGTCCAAGCAGCTGACTATTGTTGTAAGTCACTTTTTCAATAATCGATATGTCTTATAACATGTGAGTCATGAGGTTATTCAGATGAAAACAGGAAACATAAAATTAATTTAACCATAGAATATAGTAGAGCATTAAGTAACTTCTGAAAACTATTAATGGACTAATATTATATATATAACACGAAGTGTATGATTTAAATGACTTTTCAAACGACATAATATAACCATATTATAAAAATTGGATTCATGAGTCAATTGAAGCTAGACCACCATGGAAAACCTGGAAGTATTGAACGGCCGTTTCATTCTAGTATGGGACTCCTCAGCAATGTGCAATCACGTCCCCGCCTCGTGAGATTCGAACCCAGGGTCTATCAGTCTCTAGACCACTGAGCCGGTTTCCAACGCTGTTAATATCTAACTTCAACCATTCCACTAAATTGCGCCACCTTCCACCATTGTCTTAAGTGAGTTACTATCTCAACAGGTTTTCCATTGTGGTCTAGCTTAAATTGGCTCATGAATTCAATTATTAAATTACAACAATCTCCACAAAACCCCTCTCTGATTATAACCATATTACGTTACTTCTCAGTTGACCTATTTAGTAGTGTCAAATGAAGTTAGGTTGGTTATATGATAGATTGGTAATTATTTGATCAGTCAAGTATAGATTTTAATTACGTGATCACAATTTTTAAGTCGTTTGTTCTTTTAGTTATCAGAATATGATTGTAAATTTTAAAGTGTTTTAATAAGATTCACCTAAATCATATGTATCATTCAGCATCTATACGTATAAAACTGTAAATACTGCGTTTTCACCATAATGAAAACATACATTACCTGATATTTATATTTAAATCAATACAAAGAGTTAATTGGTTTCACTTATCTGTCATGTTTGTATGAATAATTGAGATGCAATAAAATCATATTTTAAGCTCAATTTTTGGATACAATTATCTCAATGATTTTGAATGTTTGAGCAGTCTATTGTACTGTTTGCTTGTATGATTAATTGTAAAATCATTTAGAGTATTGAAATGTTAGGGTCTATAAATTATGCATATCTGAATTCTCTTTACGGTTTCTCGTTATCTTTTGATCTAACATGTAATATTCTTTGTGGTTTTAAAATCATTTTCTAAATGATTCAATATCTATCCATTCATCCATCTAATCATAGACTTACGTATGCTAATTAAATATATACCCTTTCTAATTTGATCAGGAATACACATATTGATCATATTTATTTTACTTTCTCTCGTCAGCTTTATCTGACCATGAAAATAGTATTCAGGCGGTATCGATTGCTCAATGTATGAACTTTCTTCAATAATTCTTTTTGTCAAAACTGAAGATTACTTCAGTTAAATCAACACTTAAAAATAGTGATACTTTTAAAACCGTTTTACAGATATTCATTTCATGAACATTCAGTAGTTTTGTATGTACTTGGAACAAGAGGATAACGTGTATAAATTATATGTCGATAAATCTTAAGTTGATATCAGTTAATGATGAAACTTATTTTCAGCTTATACAAATTATCTTCACAAAAGTTCCAAATATACAGTAATTGGTGAATCATTGATGAATAGCCTCACAATAGATCTGTCGATATTTTAATCAGAAACTGTGACATGTAAAATCAAATCACCAATGATATTGAATAATGATTGTCCTATATTATAAGATGATTTAAATCGATATCACAGATTGCTAGATTTCTACTCATGTCGACTATGAAATAACCTCATTATTTTGCATCCTATAAACTCATACATCCATTAATTTTAGAAAAAGGTTAAAGGTCATGACTACTTCATTCAGTCTGTTTACAGTTACAAACCAATTAAATTAGTTGGACTAAAAGTAAGCCAGATGAAACAGTATACAGTTCTATTTGTAAATATTCAAGTGGACGATGTATCATCATTGATATTGTTTACATGGAATAATTTTTAAGTAAAATGATACGGACACTATACTAATCATAACAGTTTTATATAACTGTTTATTAGAAACCCATATTAGACTATTTATCTACATATC